CTCGTGCGTCTACAGCCGCAGGACGATTTTCATTTCCATCGCGACTTCCCACTGGGCATACATATGTACGTATAAAATGTATGACACACAAAGGAAAACCAAGCTGGCTTGAACTGCTGTGGTGCTGCAGCTTTTTTACTTTTTTCATAGAGCCTGTAGATGATTTAAGATGAAATTAAAAAATATGCACATATGTGTAAATTTCTGATGTTCTTACATGGTTTATTATTATAATTATCATAGCACTCTCATAATTTTTACTCGGCTTTTGTCATACCTATATCCAAACGCATTGATGGGTTGGAAAGGGAACTGTATGAACTTTTATAGGATTTTGTATTTTTGTCAATACAATTGCTGTACCTGAAGATATGTGCATATATCAATATGTATAATAAAGCACACACTCTGGAATCTATGTTTTAGCAATTCCATGACCAATAAATCTTTAGATGAAATTATTCAGATTTTCTTACATGCTCTGTCATTTGCAGATGTAATGCAGCTAAGTACTTGATTGTTCGTCCCTCATTAGCCAAAGCAAACAGTTCCTCGCCAGAAATGGAACTTAGTTTACCTCCAATCAAGCCATCCCATCCCCTCCATTAACATTACCTTTCCCATCTCCCACATCAAACAAGCAGGTTATGGGTTGACCATTTTCCAAGCGATTTAATGCCAGAATAGAACAGAGCAGAAGCCGAAGCTCCAGCCGTGGCATTCTCTGCATTCGTGGCATTCGTGGCATCCGTGGCATCCTGCGTGGAGGCAACAAAGGCAAACAAACGGCGTCTGGCTGTCACTTAATCGAAGCCATTAGCGTTATTAGTGGGGCCAGGCATCACCTGCCTCCACATCCACCACCACCCTTATACTCATCCGCAGGGCCACCTACTCCCATGCCTGGCTGGCGGCCAGGTACAGGGCAAAGAGTGTCTGGACGTTGTGTATGTAATCCGCCTGGGAGTCCAGGGGTCCCTCGATGCCAAACCTTTCGCATAGCACGCGCACATAGTCGGCCAGCGGGAGATGTTGCTGCAGGCAGGAGCGGTAGGCCTGATCCAGGGCATCCTTGGTCTCCGCGTCGGCATAGGAGCGTGGCCAGTCCTCGAGCAGAGCGTCAATGTCCTTGCGGGGCTGGGCATCGTACAGGGATTGGGTCATGTGCACCTGCTCCACCTCACCGATCCACTTGTCAATGTCCTTGGCCGATCTCGCGGTGGGTACCAAGGCAGCCGAGGATGCGTGCCGCGGGTTTCTCCCTCGACTGCCACTCAACACGGAACGGAGTTTCATATTGAGGAGACTGGGTTCGCTCTGCGTGCCCGATGGCTCGTCCAACAGCCACAGACCCAATCGCTCCAAGTGCTCGTCCAGCTCCCGCTGACGCTGTGGCTGGAGCAGAGGTGGCGCCTGCACCTTCAGCAGAGCATCCACATCGCCCACAGCGGGTACGAATTCCGGAATGAACGGCTGCAGGTGATAGGGCGTCTCAATCGTCTGCGGCGTGTACTTCAGGATGTAGGGGAATATGTCTTTGAGGTCTTGCTGCAGTGGCAGTTGCTCCCACTTGTCCGGCGTCAGGTTGAAGGACGGCTCCTGTCGTTGGCTACCGCCTGCCCCCGCCTGACCTGCACTGCGTCGCTGCTGCATGGGCAGTGCCAACTTGTGATGCGGCAACTTGGGTACCGCTCCTCCACCCAGTGTTGCCTCATCGCTGCCCGAACTCATTTGATCATCCTGGTCCTGGTCCTGGTCCTGGGCCTGAGGCTTGGCATTTCGAGTGCTACCTGGTCGCGTTTGAGGCCTTGGGGCTGTCATGCCCATACCCATGCCGTCGGCCAGTTGCATCTCGCTGTCATCGTCCTCGTCGCTGTCCTCGGCCTCGTCATCGTGATCAATGATGTCCTGTAGGAGACCATCGTCATCGGTGGAGTTGTTTCCCTGAAGCTGTTTTGATGGTTGAAAGTGGGGAATGATGTTTAAGATGTTTGGTAGAGCAGGGTTGTTGAGGTGGATGGGGATACGTTATTATCGAGAGGAGAGTCTGAGACTGAAAGGTACACAATGAAGATGATAGGAAGAACGTTTTGGGACTGAAAAGCGAGGAGACCACAGCATAATCATTCTATGCAGTGATGGATAAATTTTGTACATAGTACAGGCAAAAAGACTAAACACGCATACAGTTTATGGTTCAGGATTCTTTAAGGCAGGATTTGTATTGACTTTGGTAGTATTTATAGCGATTTATATATTGCCTATATAGTACTTTATAGAGACTTTATAGAGGACTCAAGATTGCGACTTTAATATAATGTGTAGAAACCAATGGATACATGGAACAAAATGAATAGATGGTATTGATTGTCTTTTACATATGTATAGAAACGCACAATAAGATGCAGAAATATTCCAAAATGAAGGGAAATATTTTACGGTAGGAACAAAGACACTTTTCGAGGGTTTATTGCCGAAATGTACTCTCCTTTTTCTTTTCAAGACTCTCTTCTTTTCAACAACTCCCATCGCCACAATATGCCATTTAGCAAGTGCCCCTCTCATTACCTCGAGTACTCACCATTCTTCGATGCCTGCCTGCGGCCGCCCTTTGTCCACCTCTGCCTTCTTCTCCTGCTCCAGCTCCTGGTCCACTGCCACCTCTTCTGGCAGCAACTGCCGCACCGATTCTGGGCTCCATTTGAACGCTGCTCAGATGCTTGGAGTCGCCTCCGCCGATTGTGATCTCCTCGTCGTAGTAGTTCATGGCCACAGCCGGCTGTGCACCTTCCTTCCTTCCTTCCAGCTGCGAAATGCTCGTCCTCTCGAGTAGTTCTTCCCACTTCCTGCCGCTTGGGTTTACGCGGAATCCTCGCTGCACTTGCCTCACTGCATTGACAATTTTCTACGATTTTCCGCTCCTTGCAGGTGCAGAGAGTCCTTCAACTGTTGTCGCTCCTTTGCTTCCTTCCTTCACGCTGGATTTTTCTTTATGTTTTTTTCTGTTTTTCTTTCTGTTCTGGCTGCTTACCTGAAAAACTTGTCAATTGCTTTGGCAGTGGGTTGTCTTGACAACGACACCGCGTCCACCCCTGTCTCCGCTCCCTCCGCCGCATCGTGTGGCAATACGTATAATTGTTTGTTGCCTGCAAAAACATTTACGGCCGAAACAGTTGCTCTTTGTTCTGGCCTGATACGATACCCGACGGACCTCCGCCTCTGCCAGTGCGTCGGCCTGGGTCTGGCTCGCTATCGCCTTTGGTTTTAATTACATGAAATATTTAAACCGATTTCCCATAATTTGCAGTCTTCAGGCATTTAAATAGCAGTGGGCTACTGTCTCTGGGCCAGTTTATTGCCGGGTTTCATTAATGAAGGAGCGAACTGTTTCAAATTTTCAAAAGGTTTTTGAAAGGCTTAACATCGACAGCCATCAATTAACAAAGAGGCGCCAGCTCTGGCTTGAGGTATGTTTTTAGCCAAAATATCCATAAACTTGGAGTACCTGATGAGGTGGCAGATATAACAATTAGTAGTTCCAGATGATTTGTCTGTCGCAAAACACATGTGGGTGTCTGTTGGAGGTTAACAAGGGTTCCTTATTGCCGAACGCGTGCTTTGAGATTCCCACGATCATAAACCCTAATATCCTACCCTACCCTACCCTAAGCGCAATGGGGTTTTATTTTATTGTTTAAGAGAGTAACAACATCTAGATGATAGTAGATATCTGAGCAGATTTTGTAGGCATTTAGGCATAATTATACCAAAATAACACACGGTAAGAAATACAAAGAAATTCGCTACACTTCTTTATAATATTCATATCCTTAAACCTGACAGATTCGTTTAAATATCGCCATCCATTAATACGCCTTTTATGCAATCTAGATAGTAATAAATATGTACATATGAATATAGAATTGGTTTTGATAGTCCAAATGCATTATATGTATATTCCCTGAATGCCAAATATTTTATTTGTCGTCGCCATCGCGTTTCCTTTCCAATCTTTTTAACGGCATTTCCAATCAATACATTAATACGTACTTCAGGAAAAATCTCTGCTTTTCTGGATCGAAATCCCTTTTCTAACGTTATAGGGGTATTCCCATCCTATCAACCATTTATACATCTACAAGATTGCAATTCATTTTGGACTGCATATTAATGGATGGTTAATTTTTTAAAAAATGTTTTCTTTGCATTCTTTTGTATAATTTTTGTAATACCAAATGTTCGAAATTTTGAAAATTAAATTAATTCTGTTGCATGGTTTTTACACCCCTTCCATTGACGCCCATGCCCTTCATTCAACAAGAAAAATACTCAAACGCGCTCTCATTTTCGCTCTTTCTCACTCACACACTTGCCAAAGCAACGCAGCTGAGAGAAACAACTCACACTCTCACTCAAATGTGAGAGACAACAACAAATAACATAGCTCATTCAACAGAGCCTGTTGATGGAATGAAAATATGTACATATGTGTTTCCAGCGGCAAACTCTGTTAGTAACAGCTAACATTTCAAAATTGAATAAACCGTGTAAAAGAAGAATTGTTATGCATGAAAAAATGTTTTAAATTATTAATATATAATATTAAAAAAAGTACTATTTATTTAGTCTATTAAATTTAGCGAAAGGTAAAGGAAAATGAAAAATAAGGGCAATTTAAAATTAAAAATTTGATCTAGGAAATAAAACTGTACGTAGAATTGATTTGAAAATAATCAATTATGCCTTTATTGATTTAATTTAAAATTCTGAAATATTTTTTGAATATTATGTATTAACAAATGGAAAAGAGCTAAATCATTTCCAACAAACTCAAAAAAATTGCCTACAACCTTCTCCACGACGGTGTTTTCGCTGCTGGCCCACTGAAAACAGCAGCAGCTGTTAACGTCAGCCGGAAGGCTGCTGCTTGTTTTGCCGCTTGCCACTTGCCGCTTTTTGCTTTTCGTTTCACTCTGTTTTTGAATCTTGCGCTGTTCGGAACGTTTTCCACTCGCTACGGCGCTGCTCTGAGATAAAGGCACATTCCGAAGTTACGTCTTTCGTGAGAGTAGTATCTGTGTTGGTGTGTGAGTGTGCTAAAGTGTGCGAGTGACCAGCAACAACAGCAACAAAAACAACAGCGTGCAACAAGAGCGTTTGCCACTAATTAAATGCTAAAGTGTGGTGTCTGTCTGTCAATTGAATCGAAACGATACGACTTTTGATTGAATTAAAATACAAATTACACGAAAAAAAGTACAAAGTTAACAAAAGGAAAACAGCAGCAGCAACACCAATTCCAATTAACGGTAATTAAGCCGGTGAGCCCGCGATAATTTTTCCTACACTTTCCTCCTTGTGCGAGGAAGTCGAAGTGGCAAAAGATTGTATTTTTTACACACATACACTCTTTTATTTCGGGGATAATTAAAACCGAGAGTGGAGTGGAGTGCCGCCGTGTGTGTGTCCCTCCTCCGTCCTTTGTGCAAAGGGAAACAATTTTCATTAAACCGGCGCGGCACTAAAAGGATTACCCACCCGTTCATCTTCATCAGGCTCCGCCGCAAAACCCCTGGCACCGAAAAGCGGTAAGTTTTGCCCCAGAATCCACCCACTCACTTCCGCTGCGACACGTTTCGCGCCACGTTTTGGGTCTTGCAACAGTTAAAAAGGGTTGAGCTGACCAGCCGTTCGCAGGGTCAACATGCTTTTGTTGAGGTTAAACTGTGCCCTGAGCCGGAATTACAATCCCATCCCCCCAGCCAGCCAGTGAATCCCCAGCATTCCGAGACCCATGCCAAACAATGAAACACACGCCAAACTTTTCGGCAATAAAACGAAATTGTTTTGAATTATTGAGATCTGAGAGTGGGAGTCGGGGACGGGGACGGCAACCCTGTAACCGGATGGTCCTTTTTCAGGGGTTTCCTTAATGCCAGTGTATGTATTTTATATTTTTTGTTGAAATATAATTTATTTTTCGGCGCATTTATGGGCGAGCCGATCCCAACCGCAGGTCCCACGGAAAAGGACTCTTATAGGTGTCTGGGGGCATTAACAGTTAACATGCTTTGCGGTATTTGATTGGTGCCAAGTCTTTTTATCAGCCCATAAAACGAAAGGCGGCCAACAAGCACCAAGTGTCTGCCACAATTTCGGGGCATATGTTTGCTCTTCGGGTTATGTGGTGGGGTGTGGCTGAAGTGGTGGGGGTTGGCTTTGAGTGGGGTTTTCGCAAATTGGAGAAAGGTTTTATAGAGTTCAACGGGGTAACGACCAGTTTATCAATTCTGTATGGGGGCTGCCTCAGTCGCAGCCCCGATAAGAGCTTTTTATTTTAATGCAAAATCGCTTTGTGTCAATGCACTGAAAAAATAACATTGAATATATCCAATGGAGACATGTTGCGAGTGTTATTGAACTGACAGAAGGATGGATAACTTAAGGTCACTTTTGATAAAGAACTCTCCTGTATGTGACTCTTTGAGTTCCAGTTCAAAATGATCAATGTATTCGATTCTGGAAGAATGCCTTTTAGGGAGAAAAGACTTTATGGATCCACACATTCCAATCTTGCTTCGTAGGATCTCCAGAGCACTCTTACAGAACGATCCAACTTGGGAGTTCTCTAGAGTTATTTATCCTCGGATTCTGTTGGTGAAAAATTCATCCCTTTTCTTAGCTTAGTCATGAAATTCTCCATTTCGAATCGTTAATCAAATTTAAAGTTTTTATTGTTCCATATCTGTTCAGTTAAATCTCATATTTTTCCAAACAACTCATATAACACATTCCAAACAAAGCCGCATTTTTATTCGGATTCAAACCTCTTTATAACTCTTCAAATAGCATCCACCAGAACACCATCAATATTCACATTAGTGCCATAAATTTGCCAAAAACCCAAGACAATTGCAATCTTCAACAAACATTAAGATTCATTTACCGCCAAGAGCACCTAATTTCTGGACCAAGTCTGCAGCGGCTCTGTGGTTATTGGCCGGGCCCATTCAGCCTCAGCAGCTAGCATTCGAGAGCCCTGTGCGGCTAATTAATTTCCATTCAGCCAAATGGAAATACGTTAACCATAGAATGCCGCAAATTAATTTCTAGACTGAATGAGATGGAAACAAAGGTGGGGGAGGGAGGGAAACAGACAGACAGATGCTGAACAGACGGCGGCAGTCCTCTGTCTGTCAGGAGTTGCGGGATACAGTCTGTATCGAAAGTATATACCTACATATGTATGTTGAACTACTGCTCTTTGGTTCTTATTCCTGGACTGAACTTCATTGATATCAAAAAGCAATCATAAATATTTGGAGCCTAAAAGGTATCAATAGCCCCCAAAACAAACCATAATTCAAGTCAAGTAGCTTGATAACAGAAATACGTTAGTTCGTCAACTGGTCGTGCGCGAGAATTTATTTTAGTTTTACTTTTATAACTTCTTTGAGGCCCAACATTTTGTTGGTAGTACATGCATTATTCTATGAAGTATGCGTAAAATGCAGAGATCAATTGTATATATATGTGAGAGCTCTTTTTGTATCCAACAATTTGGACACATTCCAATTCTAGATATCCCTATAAACTATCCATAAAGTCAGTTACAGTTAACTGGGAGGTGTCCATCGAATCGTGATATGTATTTGTGATCTTCACTTTAATACGTTTCGTTTGGTATATGACAATATGTCTTTCAAGGACCCAATAAAAAAGTAAAAAATATATGATAATTTGACTATTTATTTAGTTGAAGGAACATTAAGGAACATCGTTGATCGGATCTAGCGACAAATTGCATAAAATAGAGAATCTACATATTAGAACTTCTTCTGTGTTTCATATTTTGATTTTATTCGAAGACCAGGTTTTCAATAGTGCATATTATTCGAGGAGGGATAATCTTCAACCATAAATGAAAGATCTATAAAGTTATCATTCCCTATACTCCTGAAACACACTGTACACACTATATTGGATTTATCTGTGGGTAATATAAATTCCTTGAGGTCTCACTAGCACTCTCTCTCTCTCTCTCTCTCTCTCTCTCTCTCTCTCTGTGGCGACCATTTTTATTTGTGGTCAGGCTATTTCGGTTTATTGTAATTTTTTATGGTCCAGCTATGGTTCTGTTGTTTGGCTTCATAACCAGCGACTAGCGACTAGCGACTGGCGACTTCGACCTAAAATATAGTATGTATATAAATGTACAAATATATATGTATATAAATGTGTAAGTGATTCTATTGTTCCTCTTGTACTTTGGACATTTCCCAAGGCCTGAAAGCAGACACACACTTTCGCTTTTCATTGTTTCTGTGTGTCTGTTGGGGCTTTTCCTGCCCCAAAAGAAAATAAAGGAAAAGGCAGGCAAAATGTTTGCTTATCTCTTTGCCTACACATTTTTATGTGTGTTTTGCTTTGTTTTCCCCCACACCCCGCGCTGCTGCTGATGGGTGTCGAGGCTTGAGAGGATTCGCTCTTTTCCGGATAATCATCAGCATGCAAGGCCAGGCACCGCCATCCACCAGCAGCAGCCTCCATTCTCCATTGCCCCATCCTTGTGCCACATGGCTCCTCCACCAAGTTCAGGCGAAAGCGAAAGCAGATGGAAACCCTGGTCGGGCGGGGGTCACCATAAAAATGGAAAATTGTTCTACAGTTGAAACTTTGTCGTAGGCACAGACTGCGACATCGACTTCGTCTTCGAATTATGCCAGATTGGTTTTTATTTAAATTAGTTTTAGATTCCTTTGGGTTTGGGTTGGGTTCTCTTTTTCTTCAATGCTCACTCAAGTGTTAAAACAGAGACTCGCAAAGGACACAGAAATTGATTTTGGTGCAAAAAAAAAAATATCCATACTCGTAGAAGAATGTGCGAAGGCGGCAGCGGCTTCCCTTTTATAGCCAGTTCAGCTGTCCCTTGACCAAAAACGGGTTCCTAAGAAAACTGCCTCTGCCACTGCTTTGAATAAATAAACAACAAAATGTACAACGAATCAGATTTCAGTCCCTCTACTATCGATGACAAATTGCACATAATTTCTGCCGTCTGCTGAGCAAATGTTTTTCGAAAACTGCACGGATTGTGGATTTCTTTTTTATTTATGTGTCTATTCCAAGTGTCGGAACAGCCTTTGTCACAAGAAACTGCTAGAAAGTAATAACGACAGTTTATTAAAAGCCAATTGAGATCCATTTCAGAGATACGAGTATGAGAGAACGGATATCCCGGCACCCGTCATGCATGTTCGCAAAACTTTGCCCAAAAGAAAACAAAACTCTTGATTGTTCGGCAAAAACTTTTGCTGTTAACCTTTTCGGTTGACCTGCGGCCACATCTCCTCTTCCTCATCAGCATAATCCCCATGGGGAGGAGGGGAGCAAAAACAAACTTTCCCATGAGCCCAAAGAGAGATATATATCCCCCAGAAATTCGTTGTATCATTTATCACAACTTGCACTCCCAAATATATCGTGTTACAAGGCAAAGGCAGAGGCAATGGCAAAGCCAAAAGAAAAGTGAAATGAATTATGTGGAAGGTGATGAAGTTATCATCGAGCTATCATGACTATACAGTCGCAAGGTGTTCGGCTTGTCAATGGGATTGATTATTCAAATGAAAGGCGGGAAATCGTAGATAGCGCATGGTACTCGTATAGAGGCGCCAACTTTTGTTGAGGGGTTGGGTGCTGGCCAAACAAATGCCAATTAATAATAAATGAATTTTCAAAGTGATGGTTGAGGGTGCAGCCGACATACAGAGGGAGAGGGAGAGGGAGAGATGGTGTTATGAAATTTCCTATTGAAAGTGCGATTGAAATTTGAAGATAAGAACTGGTTATGTCTTTGCGGGATTAAGGAGCAGTTTTTGTGGCATTTAATGAACTGAAAATTCGGGGATAGAAGATGATATTTGGCAAATGCATTAATTCAGGGACAAGTTTTTACATATTTCTTCTTCCCCTTCACACTTTTCACTAAGGAAAGGTTAGTCATATCCCATTTATGAACCCAACTACAAGTGATCTACTTGTAGACCAGAAATCACCATCAATCCCCGATCAAACTAAACCACTCTTTCGCACCATTCACCATCAAAAACCGCAAACAAGACTTTAAAATAACACAATCTCCTGCCAAAAGCAATCCCAATGGCCAAACAAACTAAACTTTTTTTTTGTCGACTGAAACTTGTTAATAAGCAATTTCTAAGCAGAGTTTTTTTTGGGTCTTTTGATTGTTATGTCTTCACCATTCCTACTTTATCATATCTCTTTCATTTCTTGTCGTTCTCTGGCATTCCAATAAACAGCTTTGGTTGGGTTTTTACGTGTTCTGTACGGTTCTGTTCATTTTCATTCTTTCACAAGCATGAGCTAGTGTTATGGTTGGTGGTGACCCATTTTGTGCGGTATATTAAGTGTGATTTCCAATTACCAAATTACTGACCTCAAAACCGATTACTAAACATGCTATAACCACTCTACACAGTAGGAAAGTGCATTATCAGCAGAAAGAACTGTTGGAACCCCAAGAATAGAGACAGAACCACACCGAAACCGTATCAATATCAATAGT